CGAGCCCAGCGTAGCCGCGGGAACCGGCCTCTGGTCGTGGCAGCCTGCTGTCCCCTTCCCTCCGGCAATGGGGAATGGACTCTCGGACCAGACGCCGATCCTCTCCAGCCTGCCGTCCTTCCAGAGCTTCCACATTGTCATCTTGGGGCTGGACTGCGCCGGCAAGACCACCGTGCTGTACAGACTGCAGTTCAATGAGTTCGTCAACACCGTCCCCACGAAAGGATTTAATACGGAGAAAATCAAAGTGACGTTGGGCAACTCGAAAACGGTCACTTTCCACTTCTGGGATGTGGGCGGCCAGGAGAAGCTGAGGCCGCTGTGGAAGTCGTACACGAGGTGCACCGATGGCATTGTGTTTGTGGTGGACTCCGTCGACGTCGAGAGAATGGAGGAGGCCAAAACAGAACTTCATAAGATTACTAGGATATCTGAAAATCAAGGAGTGCCTGTCCTTATCATCGCTAACAAGCAGGACTTGAGGAACTCTCTCTCCCTTTCTGAAATCGAGAAGATGTTGGCAATGAGCGAGCTGAGTTCTTCGACTCCCTGGCATTTGCAGCCTACCTGTGCAATCATTGGAGACGGACTCAAAGAGGGACTGGAGAAACTACATGATATGATAATTAAGCGAAGGAAAATGTTGAGGCAGCAGAAAAAGAAGAGATGAGTTCTATCTTGACCTTTCTCTTTTAGAGTAGTTAACATGGTCAAAATTTGACACGAGACAGCTTCCAAACCCAGGCCTGCTTGTTTGGATGCTGTTAAAGCTTAGTAACGTTGAACAATCAGTTGCACAACCTCACCGCGTGGAAGGCTGTGCAGTTGTGGAACTTTTTTGGGTTTTTTTGGTTTGTTTTGTTTTTGTTTTTGTTTTTTAACGAGTCTCTTCTGAGTTTTATGGCTCTGCATTATTTCAGAAGCCCGAATAGATGATGTAATACTATCAGGAAATGGATGGGTGGGTATATGTGACATGGATGTCTCAATAGCCAAATGAAGCGAGGGTTTTCTGCTTAGTGTCGTATTCGTATGTTGGAGGGTGCCCTCTGCAAGCGACTTGCATTGAAGGTGTTCTGTGTTTTTAAACTTCTGATGCTCGTAAGTGGAGTGTTTAGGTGAACATTATAGAGCTTTAAAAACATGTATGAAGCTAGTAACCCATTATTTCCAGAGGCTGTTTTTTACCTTGTTTGGGGATTTCTATGAAAGCTTGGCTACATGTGTAGGGGTTTTGTTTTTTTTTTTCTTTTTAATTTGGCACTTTTTGAAATTGAATGATGTTCCGTTCAGATACTTGAAATTTAAGTGCTGTGGATTCTTCAACTGATCAAAGAAAGACTTTTTGATAAGTAACAAATGTAAACAACAAGCTGGAGCATGAAAAAGTGGTTTCCCAACATATAGCATGTTTTTGGTATGTAAGGTTTTTATTTTTTAGGAGTAGCCATTCATCATTATGCAGTGCTAATCAGGTTTAAACTGTTACTCAAAATTAGTAATTTATTTCTGGATGATGAGTATTATGTCCTCCTCCTATCAAGTTAAAAGTAAATTAACTGCAGTAAAGGAGCTGTAACGAACAACTCTGGCTGTCGTGGTTCTAACCAGCGCAGCAGCATTTGCTCTACTGGTGACTCTTCTGGCAATAAAACAAAATGATAATGAAGTAAAGATGGAGTTAAAATGAGCAGAGCACATCTTGTATCTCCCCAAAACACCCCGTTTTATTAAAGTGGTATTGCTATGTCACTTTCAACGTATGCTTTTTTTTATCGTGGCTCTTCAAGTATGTTGTGGTTAGGAATGTAAAAATGCTTTATACACTCAAACATTTGACACTATGGGGGCGGGCGGGCGGGGAGGGGGGGGCCGAGTGAGAGAAGAAGGTTTTCAAGATGGGCCTGTGTTCTGCTTTAATTATGCTTTAAGCTGTTCTTGTTTACAGAGTGTGCAAACAGTGTTAACTGGGCAGGATAGTGCTGGACGGAAAAGGGAGGGTCGTTTTTCTTACTGGTACAGAGCTTCAAGTGACTCTTTAGATACTTGGCTAGCCGTTTAGGGGGCTAAACCAGAGCCTGGATTTTTAAGACTAACTTTAGTGGTGCTGTAAATTCATCAGAATGGTAGATTCTCTTTAAACTTTTGTTGGAAATACCGCATTAAAGCAAAAAAAAAAAATATTAAAAAAAAAAAGGCAAAATCTATTTCCTCCTCTTACTCAGCTGGCAAAGTAATAAATTTTTCTTACCTGCTGCCATGTACTGGGAGGATGACAGCTACAAACCTGAATGTCGATCAATGTAACTTAGATATGTTTAAAAAAAGAAACAAACAAACAAAAATTGAACTTTTTAACCAGCAGCTGTTTGTCCAGGAGGTAACCAAAAATGCACTTTAGTGTCTTCAATAACTGAAAGTGACAGCTGTGGTTTTTTTTTAATGACATCTTGGTCCTTTTTGAATAAACTGAAGTAGCTTCCAGTGGAGCTTTTGTATGTTGGTTATATATGTACCTGCACTGGTGACATTGTAAGTCACTTACTCAAGTAATGTCTATATTTATAGAAATGTGGATGACTTCTTAAACCTCAATAAACAATTCAAAACAAGCCTGCAGAGAGAAGGTGTCTGACTTCTAGGACTGCAGCGGTGCGTTCTCATCGACCTCCGGGCACGTAGGGATTCCGGTACCAGCAGAACTCTTGCTGTTGGAAACCAGAGTCTGGTGAAGGCGGTGAGGCTCAGAAATGCCACGAATGGCAGGGATCTCATTAAAAACTTTAAATCAGCGGCACGTCTGTGTAATCACAGGAGAAACATCAATGCAGTGGCTCTCGAGTGATGGATCTTGCATCATGTGAAAAATCTTCTGTGTAGCTGAACCAATTTTGTGTCATGTGCCACGTTTAATAGGCGATGTCGAGCGTTTATCACATGTACTCACAGGTGGAACTGAATTTAGTATCTTCAGGCTCAGGTATCTGAAGCTGGCTGAGGGATTCACGTGGGCTTAAGCCTTGGGTGAATATCCTCCTCAGATTTTGCAGCAGCGAGTAGGACGTGGCAAGAGATAGGGAAGGTTTTAATTAGTTTCAGGACCTGAACGTGGACAAGACAAACTTTTATTTAGCCTGCAAATCAGAGCTGCTAAGTTTGAACGGGGATATCCAAACTTATCTTGCAAAAACCTGGTATTTTCATTTCTGTTTATGTAACTGATGGCACATCACGGTGTAGGTTACTGACAGTTGGTCTTGGGGGAAAAGCTGTAGTAGTGATGCTGAGCCCTGTGAATTTGGGGTGTAATTGGTATAATCTGGCTAATATTTTCCTTCCTGTCGGGTGCATAGTACTGCTGGGCTGAGGAAGGTGAGGTGACAGGCTGGCTCGTTGTGCCCAGTAAACAAACACCAAATAGTAATTGCTTCGTTTTGGGTGTCCGTTAGGCTTCTATGGGGAGTAAGGCATCCCGCTTCAGTCAGCGGTGTGGTGTTCTGCGTGTCAAACTTACTGGTGTTTACCTGGTGGCAGCCTCCCTAAACCCTGCCATGTATAAAGGCTTCAGTGAATGATTTTAAATACAAAGACGTGACTGATCGGTACTCGAGCACCCTGGAGGATGAAGCGAAGGAAGCTGGAGAGTAGTGTTCTCAGAATGTCGTGGTTGTTACTGTGTGGTCCTTAATCCTGACTTGGAAGTAGAAAACTTTGAGTGGGGGATGAGTCTTAACGTTCAAGCTGCACCTTTATCTGTACTAGAACTGTTCTGCTGGAATATTACAGTAGCCGTTCTGAGGAAAATAGACAAACGTAGCTGCGTCTTGTGTTACTGTGACAAAGCCTTCAACTAGGAACAACGTGGCGATGGCAGCAGAGTGTTTGTGAGTTTCTGCTGGCGCAGCTCTGCCAGCCTGGGATCGCTCTCTTCTGTACGAGGAATTGACACTTCTGCCCCAAATACTGGTGCGTGTAAGGAAATCCTCAGAGGAGCTGCATAAGCAGGTGTAGTTTTGTTACAGCGCCGGAGTTACACGAAATAATTTTTGCTAAAATGGGCTACGGATGAGACTGTTCTTTAAGATATTTAACTTAGAGAGTGCCTTGAACTGCTTCTGCTTTAAGGAGGCGTGGAAGTGCGTTTAAATCGGTGCAGCACCGTTGGAAACGAACAAGCCACAAGGTTTTGCAGCCTTCTCGCTGTTGTCTTAGCTTGCAAAAGTTGCTGTGGCATTGCCTCGGCTGTTCGTGCCCATGCAACCGTGTCAAGTCAACCAGCCTTCAGGATCTGTCCCTGGTTTCTAGCTGCGTAGCCGTGTGTTGGCTTACGACGGTTGCAGCTGGGATGGTGAGACTCCTTCAGGTTCCCGACATCCCTTTTGGGTTGTATTGCCCTGAATGTGCATTGACATTTGGGATAAAAATAATCGTTTTCATCCAGGTGATGGGTAAAACCTTTCTCTCTTCACACTTTCATCTTTTATTGAGACGTGGTTGATCCTTTGGGTGGAAAGCAGCACCCGCAAGCCAGTCCGTGGTTCCCAGCCTGACGTAGAGGGGGGCTTCTGCACCGCCTGGCACGTGGGTCCTGCCGGAGTTTGTCACCTGGGGGGGCAGGGGTGGCAGAGCAGCGAGGAGCTCTGCCTTCTGGGCGGGGATTTATCTGCATCTTGGGGTGTTAATTAGCGTCTGGCTGAAACTTTTGGCCGAGAGGTGAGTGCGATGATGGCATCGGAGGAGGATTTAGGTGCTGCGTTGATGCTACGAGGACGGGCTGGGGAAGGCAGAGCGTGGAAAAGGCAGGCAGTCTGCCCAGAGCGTGTGTAGGGCACCGACCCCAACGTGCACACTGCAGTGCATGAAGGCTGGCAAACGCTCCCAATGCTGTCTGAACTCCTCCGAGAGAGGCAGGACTCGCGCCTTCTGGATCGGCGTTTTCCCTTGGCTGGTGGGTGACGACTCCGTTGCGAGGGTCACAGCTTGCCGCCCCGCTCTGACAGCCCAGAGCTTCGTGCCCCTGCGCCGAAACAACCCTTGCTGCTGCTGGAAGGGCTGCGTTAGGGGGCTGTGAATGGGCATCGCCTCATTTATTCCGTCTGGGGGATGGGGACAGCTTCTTCTTATTTATTTATTTTTAATCCTGACTGACACAAGTATGTGAAGGCCTGCCCCTCTCACCCTGCTCTGCAGGCTGCGATTATTTTTAGGAGCAGCAGAAGACTGCAGGGCTGTCTGGATAAACTCTTGGCGTGTGTTTTTGAACCGAAGGGAAACACGCAGCCTGGCTTCGCAGCAGGGCGATCCGTGGGCTCCGGCAGCCACCCCGCCTAGCTGAGAACAAAATAAAGGGCTGATCCCTTGCTGGTACCTTGCCCTTCTTTAAAGCCTTAGTCAGGCTTCTTAAACCAGCCGTAAAGAAGCAAAAACGCAGTTTCAAACCCCAAGCAGCAAATGAAGGACTCGAGTTTCCTCCCTGCCAGCGTCCTGTTTTACTGGGGCTGGCCGCGAGTGATCCGAGGTCCCCGGGCGGTGGGTGATGCTGCCGCTCGCCGCGGGGCCTGCCGAAGAGCACGGGCACCGGGCCGGGCGTTCCCATACTGCTTTTATTCAAAGGCCAACCCAAAACCTAAGGAGAAAACGTAGGCAGGGAGGTCAGACAGTGCTGCCAGACTAAAATACCTGCTTGCAAACAGCTCGGGAAGGGAAGAGATGATAATCCCTGAGCTGTGAAGATTATGATTTCTTAGTTCCAGCTATATTTACACAGC